TTTTCAAATTCCCAGTGAAGGTCAAACTCTAGTTAATTTTTATGGGGCTAAAGCCCTCTATAACATTCCCCATTGTTCATCTTGCTGTCTCTGAGGTTGTTAATTAGGGCAGCTTAAAGACAAGTTGGATTCTAAGGACAGTGAGCTACAACATACTTGCTCTGGGGTTTTCTTTTTGTTTGCTCTCTAGTTCTTTAAGTTGTACGGTTAGATAGTCTATTAGAGATTTTTCTTGTTTCTTGAGGTAGGCCTGTAGTGCCATGACCTTCCCTCTCAGAACTGCTTTCGCTGCATCCCATGGATTTTGTGGTGTTGTGTCTTCATTTTCATTGGTTTCCAGGAAGTTTTTAATTTCTTCCTTGATCTCCTTGGTAACCCATTTATTGTTTAATAAAATGCTATTTAGTTTCCATGTGTTCAAATGTCTTTGTATGTTCTTCTTGCATTTGATTTCTTGTTTCATGCCATTGTGATCTGAGAAGATGCTTGATATGATTTCAGTCTTCTTGAACTTGTAGAGACTTAGTTTGTGCCCTAACATGTGGTCTGTCTTTGAGAATGTCCCATGTGCACTTGAGAAGAATGTGAATTCTGTAGTTTTGGGGTGTAATTCTCTGTAGATATCTATTAAATCCATTTGGTCCAGTGCTTCATTTAGAGTCTCTATTTCCTTGCTAATTTTTTGACTGAAGGATCTATCCAGTGATGTCAGCGGGGTGTTGAAGTCCCCTGCTATGATTGTATTGATATCAGTTTCTCCTTTGAAGTCCTCCAGAAGATTTTTAATATATTTTGGTGCTCCTATTTTGGGTACATATATGTTTATCAAGGTTATATCTTCCTGTTTCAATATTATGTAGTGGCCTTCTTTGTCTCTATTTATGGCCTTCATTTTGAAATCTATTTTATCAGATGTGAGTATTGCTACCCCACCTTTTTTTTCCTTTTTGTTTGCTTGGAAGACTTTTTTTCCATCCCTTCACTTTCAACCTATGTGAGTCTTTTGTTGTGAGGTGGGTCTCTTGTAAACAACATATAGATGAGTTATGCTTTCTTATCCAATCAGCTACTCTGTGTCTTTTTATGGGAGCATTCAATCCATTTACATTTAAGGTGATTATTGATATTTACTTATTTATTGCCATTTTTGTTTAGTGTGATTCTATTTTTCTTCCTATTTTTCCTGGTAATTACAGCAGTCCTTTTAACATTTCTTGCAGTGCTGCTTTGGTGCTAATGTAGTCCCTTAGCCTTTTTTTGTCTGGGAAACTATTTATTTGACTTTGTATTTTGAATGATAGCCTTGCTGGGTAGAGTAGTCTTGGATTCACTTTCTTGTTTTTCATGATCTTGATTACCTCATGCCATTCCCTTCTGGCCTGTAGTGTTTCTGTTGAGAAGTCAGCTGAGAGCCTTATGGGGTTTCCTTTGTCGGTAACCTGTTGTTTCTCTTTTGCTGCTTTTAGGATTCTCTCTTTGTCTTGAATTTTTGGCACTTAGATACTATGTGTCTTGGTGTGGGCTTGTTTGGGTTCTTCTTACTTGGGGCTCTCTGTGCTTCTTGAACTTGAATGCCTTCTTCTTTCACCAAATTAGGGAAGTTTTCTGTCACTATTTCTTCAAATATATTCTCTAAACCTTGCTCATTTTCTTCTTCTTTGGGGACTCCGATGATGCGAATGTTATTACGTTTCCAGTTGTCTCACAGTTCTCTTAAGCTGTTTTCCTGTTTTTTAATTATTTTTTCCTTTTGGTTTTCTGATTGGTTGATATTTTTTTCTACCCTATCTTCTAATTCACTGGTCCTCAGCTTCCTCTACTCTGCTATTTAGACTTTCCCATGTGTTTTTTATTTCTGATATGTCATTCTTCATTTCTTCTTGGTGGTTTTTAATTTCCAACTGGTTGATTTTCAACATTTCTATGTCTTTACTCACGGTGCTCATGTCCTTACACATGCTATTGAGCTTCCTCAAGATCATGGCTCTGAATTCTAGTTCTGTTAACTTGCTTCACTGCACCTCATTTATCTCATCTTCGGTGGAGGTCTCTTGTTCTTTCATTTGGCCTTTGTTTCTGTGTTTCACCATTTTGGCTATCACAGTGGGCTTTGGAGCCTGCCACATTTTCCCTGTGGGTGTTGGTGTTGTGCTGTTTGTGGCTCCCTCTCCTGGGTTTGGATGAGGCAGGGAGTACCCACTTTAAACGCCACTGTGAAGTCTTACTTTCCTAGAGTTGGTCGCCCAGGTAATGGTAGTTATCCTCTAGCTTTTTTGCCTGGAGGCTATTAGTAGGGGTCACCTGGAGAACCTTGGTTTCTGAGTTGCCTGAAAAACTCCCTCAGGTGCTCAGTGTAAGAGGATTTTCCGAGGGTGGGGCAGATGCTGGTTGCTAATGGGCCTCAATTAGCATTTCAATGGCCACTGGGTGGTGTTGAATCTCTGAGGGAGGGGCCAGGGCCCTGGGAAGGAGTAAGATGACCACAGTATTGCATGGCTGCACTCAGCAAAAGCTCTGAGCACCCTCCAAATCCCAAGTGTCCCCACACAGTTCCAGTCCAGTCTGCCCTCCCTCTGCCGGAGCCCAAGGTGATTAGCTGCTGGCAATTTAGCCTCTCCCGGCTCTACGCAGTGGACCCACCTGGGACTTTAACCTGAGGGCACTGCTCCCCGCTAAGTGTGGCGGAGGCTGCCGCAGGACCCAGCCAAGGCAGCTGCAGGTCCCAGCCGAGGCAGCTACTGGTCCCAGCCTAGGCCACAGGACCAAGCCGAGGCTGCAGCAGGTCCCAGTGGGGGCCGCAGGTCCCATCCGAGTCTGCTGGTCCCAGCCCAGGCCACAGGTCCCAGCCCAGTCCGCTGCGGACCGTGGGCCCCCAGCCCCCTGTCGCGTCCTCACAAGCCTACCAGGATTGAGTCAGTGTCTCTGGTTATGTGGTCCTCGAAGCTGCCTTTCGGTTGCCCCTTCGTGACAATTTGTCTTTATTTTCGTTGTAATTCCAGTTTAGTCCTGGGAGATGATCTGTGTAGCTTCCATTCACTCTGCCACCATTTTTTTCCTTCCTGTACTTAGCTTTTTAAAGACAGAATGCTCATGGCCTTTCGTAGCCAGAATGTTTCTTTGAGGAAAAAAACACTGCTTTCCTAACCATGTATCACATCACAAGCATTTTCCTTTCTGTCCGGAGGAAAACATGCAAAGAGCTGCTAACTGAAGGGATATTCCACCCACCTTAGCTCTGTCTTCAGCCTGTTTGTTACACCTTGTTCATCAGTATAAATCGCCATGCGGGCATTGGCAGAACACACATTGTGAACCAAGGAGCTCTGAATGCCTGTTGAAGAAATTGGGCAGTAATATTAGTTGTATCTTAGCTTGAGAAAAAGAATTATTCATTGAGCATCTTTCATTAAAGAAGTAAGGATACTTTACATATCTCGGATGTGTTTATAATACAAGCCCTATCTTATGCTAATCTTAAAAGAAAAATACTTCATTTCCTTGGCTTTTTTATCTTTTAACCATGTGATTTATATATGTTAATTTCATAAATCAAAAGTTCTGGGAAAGACCTGCCAGTTTTCTAACTCTCACCAGGGTTGACCGTGAGATTAGCTTATGTGAATGATGTAGTAGTTGATCTCTATCACAGGGCAAGGATTAGAAAAAAGACACCTTGCCCTGGCCAGTTTGTCTCAGTGGTTAGAGCGTCAGCCCACGAACCAGAGAGACCTGGGTTTGGTTCCCGTTAAGGGCACATACCTCAGTTGCGGTTTGTCCCCAGTTCCAGTTGAGGTCGTGTGGGTGGCGACCACTTGCTGTGTCTCTCTCACGTCATTGTTTCTCTCTCTCTTCCTCCCTTTCTCCCTCCCATTCTGTCTGAAGATAAATGCAGAAATGTAACGAATTAAGAATCCTTGGGTGAGGATTAACAAAACAAAAAAAGACACCTTTTCTAAAGTGATATTTTTATAGCATGCCTCTCTTTTAGCCACTAAATCTTGTTTTAAAACCGTATGTGGTGTATACATGTGTAGACGCACACACAAGAGAGATCTTAGAAAGCTGCCTACCACACCATTAATGACTTACACTCTGGAGCCGGGACTTTATACTACGGGTCAGGAGGAGTGAGTAAAAGGCTTTAACAATTTCCTAACATCGCTTCTGTATCGTTTGATTTTTATGATAGTGTACCTGTGGATCCCTTGTAAAAATGAAATGTTTTGTTTTGTTGTTTTGTTTTACCAAAGCCAAACATAGAACATCAATACTACAAGTAAGCCATTAAAAATAGTTTCAAAGGGTAAGCCCCTTGCTAATATCAGACTGACTACCTAAAAATCACATGGAAAACTGCTTTAAAAAAGTAGGCAGTTTCAGGACCACCTTTGGAGAGTCTGATTCAGTGGCTCAAGGAAGAGAACTAGATGTCTGTATTTTTAATAGGCACCTAGGTGAGTCAGAAGCGCAGTGAAGTTCAGCAACTATAGCAAACGAAGTCTGTGTTCAGAGCATCGTGTTAATCCACTCAAAGGGGGGGGGGACTTTCCTGTAAGGCTTTCCTTAGGAATCGAAAGATGGTATTCTTTTTTGTTTTTTGTGTGTGTTTTTGGGGTAATAGAAAAAGGATATATTAATCCTATATTTATGTGAGCTACCACATAAGATAACCCGTAGCGCACTGATTAAAAGCACATTTTTTATTCTCTAAATATAGTGCTATTTTCCAATAAACTATAAAAGAAGTTTCTCATCTGAACCATACAAAAGAGTTTCTCAACCCGGTTCCTCATCTGAACTGTGAACACAGACTGGGATTTAAACTCGATGGCAGCCAGTGTCCTTTCTCCCGGCTGTCACACAGCTTGCCCCACAGAGGTGCACAGGACAAGTCCATTCCCATCTCAGGGATAACTCTCACAGGGCCCAGTTAAGAAAGGCTGAGTCAGCATCTTAAGTTGAAAGGTCGCATATTGAGTTAAGTGCCTCTCACCCTTCAGGTTGTGTTCAGTACAGTCAGAGAACATGATGCTGAAGTCAGAACACGCCCAGACTGTGAGTCACCTGACATCCCAGAACGAGGCCCTTCGCAGCAGCTTCCGCGAGCAAGTGCGACGCCTGCAGGACGAGCAGAGGAAGGCCGTGGAGACCTTGCAGCAGCAGCTGTGCGAGGTGGAGGCCCAGCTCTTCCAGCTCAGGAGCGAGCCGGCCACAAAAGGTGTGTGTAACAGCGAAGCTTCGTTGTTCGTGTTCTCGTGTTCCTGTCGCTCAGATACCTTCTGCACAAGTGCCTAAGAAAACAGAGCATTTACTAGGTGACAGCCAGTGACTCTGTATGAATGAACTTTGGACTGGCTCCCTGAGAAGGTCTTGGACGTTGGAGCCTTCTGGAGTGCTGACACCGGCCCGTGCAGCCCGACCTCGTGATTGTCGTGTGTGTCAACCTCCCGCACCCATATTTCCTTCTCGGACTCACACTGTCCATCTCCTGATGACACGTCCAGGTTCAGTAGTCACTGGATCTGTTTGGTGTTCTTCACTGTTAGTCATCAAAATATATCTAGAAATACTAAGAGAGTAAGAGGCTTGGGAACACTGCAGCAGCACTGAGTGTGGAGGAGTGCGTGGCCAGCACAGCTCTTCCCTCCAGGTTTCTGATTAGTTCGAGTGCTAGTCAACCACACCCAGTGTCGTCCATTCTGCTTTCTGCAGGAAATGGGAATGTCAGCCAAGATGAGGCTACAGTCGTCCCTCGTTTATCGCGATTAACCTGTTAACCGGGAAATTCCCTTTTTTTTTTTTTATCCTCACCCGAGGACATTTTTGCATTTTGTGTTCAGACAGAGCGGGAGGGAGAGAGAGGAGGAGAGAGAGAGAGAAACATCGATGTGAAGGGACACATCGAGTGGTTGCCACCCGCACGACCAACCAGGGCCGGGGACAAACTGCAACCGAGGTACGTGCCCTTAGCGGGAACTGAACCCGGGTCTCTCTGTACCGCAGGCCGACGCTCTAACCGCTGAGCCAAACCGGCCAGGGTGGGAATTCCCTTTTTAATTACGCAGCATAGAACGGGCGCGAACTCTTTCACTAAGACGTGTAAATATGTCACCCGGAGGACGTAATTTCATATTATTATTTTTTTATTTATGCTTAAAATAAATCAAAAGACTATGAAATATATATTTTTTTCCTTTATTTATATATAAAGCACAAAGGAAAATACAAAATTACAAACAAATAGAAAAGAATACTAACATATATTTCAAGGACGTATTCATACGTCCTACCCGTACCCGATATTATTTACGTTTGACATCTTTATACATCCCACTCGGTTAACAGGTTAATCTGTTCCAAACTCAAGCGGTTGCACCTGGCGTTGAAGGATTCTTGGGGTGCTCGCATACATAGGCCTCCAGTCCATACGTACAGTAATTTCAGTTTTAATTGTAATACAGGGGTGTATAATTGACTCAGACAACCGAGCGCGTGCTATATCATTTTCACTGTCTCGATCAACTTTTTAATGACTATATTTGAAAAAACTGCGATAGAATAAAGCCACGAAAATCAAAGTACGAAGTGGCGACGGACGACTGTACATCTTATATTAAATGTCAGCTTCATACTTAACACTGTTTCCCATGGGAAAAGTCACCAGGGCGTTGTCCATTATAAGTCACTCGTCAGGGTCAGAAACCAGCTTCAAGAAGATGTAACATCTGCCACCAGTCAGCACAGGGAGCGATCAGCCTGGGAAGCACTGGCTGACGAGAGGTGGTGATCTAGGGGCCAGCGGTAGAATAAGCAGTTAGGGGACGATCAGAAATCCAGGAAAATGCTTCAACAAATGTAGCCAGAAGGCTAATGTTTGAAACAAAATGGGGGCAACTTCATGGAATGGAAAATAAATGAAATTTAAGTGAAAAGAGCCAAGTCAGAGTTCTGGTCGCTGCTCCAGCTACGAGACCTTGGGCAAAGTCATTCACCTTCTCTGAACGTCAGGTTTCTTGGATGAATAATGTCCATTCCCAGCAGGCGGGAGCGCCTTGCTCAGGAACTAGTGCTGCTGGTTCCCTGCCCTGGTTCTAGTTCTTGTCTGAACACTGGCGATGTGAGCAGACAGGGGTAGGATCCCGCAGAGGTGAAGGGTGAGGGAGTGATTGACAGCGTCTGCTGAGCGGAGGTCAGCAAGTGCGTTTGGGCAGCAGCGGCAGCTCCTGGAGCAGCTGGAGTCTGGTTTCAGGTGGTTGGCGCTGAGCTCCCCGTGCGGTGAGCATCCTGCTCTCATAGCTCCTCTCACTGGCTGGCAGCAGTGAGCTCACAGCTTCGGCTGAAGTGACTCAAGTGGTTAAAGTGCAGTGACTACATTTGCGGACTGTTTTAGAAATTTAAAAAAAAATTTTTTTCTTTACTGATTTGAGAGAGAGAGGGAGAGAGATAGAAACATCGAAGGGAGAGAACAGCGACTGGCCGCCTCCTGCGTGCCCCCGACTGGGGATCGGGCCCACAACCTGGGCATGTGCCCTGACCAGGAATCGAACTGATGACCTCTTGGTGCAGGGTCGACGCTCAGCCACTGAGCCACACCGGCCAGGCTAGAAATTATTTTTTATACATCATTTACTTTTTCCTTCTATTTATTCAAATTCCTTACCACATCATTTAGTATCCCTAGGATCATTTTAATTTTATTGTGTATCTCTGTTAATGCAGAATTTATCAGTTTTGAACTCTTTCTCACTTCCCCTTTTAAAAATAAATTTAATAGGCCCAGCGTCTTTCCACCAACCAGTGAAGAACCTTCGAGAAAGGAGAAACACAGACCTCCCCTTGCTGGACATGCACGGTGTGGCCCGGGAGGAGGGGGAAGGGATGGAGACGACGGAGACAGAGTCGGTGTCCTCCGCGGGCACTCACCCGCCGTCCCTGGAGCAGCTCCTCAGTTCTCCTGAGGCGAAGCTCGGTACGCTTCTCTGCTGTGTGTGTTCTCACTTACTCTACTGTCTGGTCTTATTAATGTTACTCCAAATTTTAAATGCTTTTTTGATCTCCAGTAAAATTTCTTTCAGTATTCCAGCCCTTTTCAGATGGAAAACGTTCCTGCATAATGAAAGAAGAAAAAACATTTTAAAATTAAGATTAGTTCTGCCCCAAGCTTGAGGCAGAAACAGATGGTTGCAGCTCTGCAGCAGAAGTAGAGAGCATGGTGCTCTCGGCAGTCCGAGGGACGGTGTCATTCCTGCCAATACAGTAGTAGGGCTGAGTCTACCTTGCTACCTGGGGTGAAGTCTGGGTATGCTCACCTGTAACAAATACTCCTGTTCACAGTTCAGGGGGAGTCTGTCTGTCACCTTTCTGAAGGTTCGGGACCTGGAGTAGGAAAGACTGTGTCCAGTCACTGCTCATAGTGTGGGTGGGAGCTGCAGTCCCAGCCCTTTGAGTGACATCATCAGTGGGGAGAGGGATGCATCACTGTACAGGCAGCAGACCCCAGAGTCAAACTTGGCTTCATGAATTGCTAAAAGTACTTATTGAGTCTGAGCTTGTTTCGTCATCTGTAAAGTCTAAATAATGGTACCTACTCCAGCTCTTATAAAATTCTTATGAGAGCCCTGGCTGGTTTGGCTTAGCAGTTAGAGCATCAGCCCGTGGACCAAAGAGTCACGGGTTCAAGTCCAGTCAAGGGTACATACCTTGGTCATGGCTCGTCCCCAACCCTGGTCGGGGTCTTGCAGGAGGCAGCCAATCGATGTGTCCCTCTCACACTGATGTTTTTCTCTCTCTCTCCCTCTCACTCTATCTGAAGATAAATAGAAAAATATCCTTAGGTGAGGATTAAAAAAAAGAAATTCTTATAATAATCCATGATATAAGTGATCAGTAAATGTTAATACTCATTTTTAAGTAAAATGACACAAGCTCTTGGGACATTAGTCAATAGAGTAGGTTAAGTGATAAAACTAATAAAATGACATAAAAGCCTAATAAATGGCAGAACTGGGGCTCATAGAGTTTATATTCAGTTAGATTACGTGCTTCGCCACAAAGATTGTCTTACTTGTGTCACATGCCACGTGTAACCTTTTCCCTGTGTTTTGGTGAGTAGAGGAATGGCAAAGAGAGTGGACCTGTGTAATGACACAGGGTGTAAAGTGTCTGTACTAAGGTATTTTTCTTATGTAGAACTTTCATCTGTAAGCCTGGTTTGAACACTAATTACTGGAACAACATCTTGCAGAGTCTCCCTTGTGGCCTGCTGAGCTTACCAAAGAGGAGCTGATGCAGAAGCTCAGTTCCACCACAAAAAGCGTGGACCACTTGAACGGCCTGCTTCGGGAGACGGAAGCCACCAACGCCATCCTCATGGAGCAGATTAAGGTGAGGTCCAGAACGCTGCGGGCGCTTATCTGAGGTTAAGAATCCACATATCGGGTGTGTCCATGACATCTTAATTCTTAATTCGTTACATTCCTGAAATCAAGAAATACTAATTGTGTCCTAGCTGGTTTGGCTCAGCAGTTAAGAGCATTGGCCTGCGGACTAAAGGGTCATAGGTTGGAGTCCTCGTCACAGGCACAGACCTGAGTCACAGGTTTGATCCCCGGCCTCGGTCAGGGTCATGCAGGAGGCAACAAATCACTGTCTCTCTCTCACATCGATATTCCTCTCTTTTTCTCTCTCAATCTCTCTTTCCCTCCCTCCCTCCCTTCCACTCTGTCAAAAAATCAATGGAAAAATACCCTTGTGTGAGGAGTAACAACAACAAAAAAAATTAGTTGCTTTTATATCATATAAATACTATTTTAATTCCTACTCTTTCTAAGTAACCGTAATAGATTTAAAAATTAGACAGATGTTTACAAGACATTATTCCAAATGTGCTTAAATAAAACTTAAATGGGTGCAGGTCCTTAAATTGTAAAGATAAACCATTTCTTATTCAGTTCATCCTGCTGCTGTTTATGGCACTAAACTCCTTTTCCCAGAAGGCAGACTAGTGTAGGAGTCTTTCCTCCTTGAAGACGCCAGAGACATGGAGCAGCAGGTGGACTGGGGAGCGTGAGAGGATTCCACACAGAGGTGTTTCCACCCTGGTTCAATGGTGTGCCGACTCTGCGAATGTAGTCACACTACTTACTGAGTACTCATGAGCCAGGCTCTGGGTGTTACATGTATTATGGTATTCAATCCTCATAGTTGTTACCAAACTCAAGGGGTTTACTGCTTGGGGTGCTCTGTTCAAGAAAACGAGAAGTGGTTGTCGCAAGGCAATTGCATTTACTTGCAGCAGGTAAAGGAGACCAGACTCACATCCAAAGTTTTGCCTCCCCCAGGAGGGTAGCCATGGCTTCTACACACCATTTGGTCAATTACATGTTGATTTCTTCTTTCCAATTGGCTACATATGTGGTTGAGTTCCTGTTAAACTTACCCTGTTTACAGCTGGTCTGCAAAATATTGGGCTGCATTTTAACATTTATCAGGAATAGAATTTAGTAAGAACCACCCAGACCCTGAGCCCCTTGTCCTGTCTGAGAAAACCCCTGGCGAGAATAGCTGAAGCTGATAAACGGTGGAGCAGAATTCAAACCCTGAGCTCTGAAAAGCACATGCTTCTGCCCTGTGCATGCAGGGCCCCAGTGGTCCCTGTCAAAGTAATCTTTTTAAGGCTAGCTGCTCAGTTAAATACATTGTGGCCTCCCATCACTGAATCCTTGAGTGTGCCTCTCTGTAAAAACATTTCCCACCTAGTCATTATCACAGCTGACACATCACCACCAGCCCAGGAACCCAAGTGACTCGGTCTTTTATTTCCACAAATACATTCTCACATGGTTTCTTAGACCTGATTGTCACTTTTTTTTTTAATGACCCTAGGTTTTAGGACAGAGTTAGCTCACTTTCCTGGACTAATCTATAAAATGATGAAATAAAATAACATATTTTTTTGTTTCAACCCAGAAATCTTCACAGACTATCATCCCACATCTTATTCATATCCTTTGTTCCGTTCTTCTGGTAGCATTTTACATTGTCTTACCTTCCAGAATTTCCACTCTATCCTAAACTCAACTCTGTTTCTGGTTAAATGCTGTCCATTATGTAAACATAATTTCCCTGTGTACGTCTTAGCTGCCTGGGGCTCTGGGAGCAAGGCAGGGAAAGGGGTTCTTGGTGGGTACAGCTGTTCACCTCCCCTGCATTTAGACTCTGCTTGCTCTCCTTGCAGTGTGTTTGGTAACCCAGAGCCCGGAGCCCACTGGCTGAGTCTATAGAGTAGAAGTGGGGGTAGCATCATGGAACTAACCTTTATAGACTACATGGTCCCTAGTTTTCAGCACAGTTTCATAGTAACTGGACTCGAAGGAGGAGACCCTGAATTTCTGTGGGACCCATTGTCTCCTCTTGTCTGCGACACTGGACTGTCATTGACACTGTCTCTCCCGTCTTCTGGGAGCTTGTTGATATTTCTCATCTACATTTTCACCTAGGCTCTCCTTTAGTGTCGTTTGGGGGCATTGCAGGGGGAAAAGAAGAATGCATGTGTTCAGTCCACCATGTTTAACCAGAAACTCCTAAAACCCACTTTTATGTCATTTTTCTAATACCAGCTTCTCAAAAGTGAAATCAGAAGATTGGAAAGAAACCAGGAGCGAGAGAAGTCCGTAGCGAACCTGGAGTACTTGAAGAACGTCTTGCTGCAGTTCATTTTCCTCAAGCCGGGCAGTGAGAGAGAGAGGCTGCTTCCTGTCATCGATACAATGTTGCAGCTCAGCCCGGAGGAGAAGGGGAAGCTCGCAGCCATCGCCCAAGGTGGGAGAGCAGTCTTCACTCTGGTTTATAGACTTAACTGCACATCCTCTGGTGGGCGAGACTGCATGTGGGTGAGGTCTCTTTCATAACACTGTGACTTACAGTTATAACTTCTACACTTGGTGCGTTGTTTCTCCCTCTCTCTAGAATCAATAAACATTTGCTTAGGTGAGGATTTAAAAAGAGAGAGAATCATCAAAATACATTAAATCTAGTAAAGAGGAAGGATTGTTTCTTGAAATTCTCTTAATTATATGTTTGGGTGACTACATCAGCTCCTGATATAAAATGTTTTTTTCTGTGGGTTGGCGTCCCACATAAGCTTGGGGAATAAGGTTACCCGGCTCTGACAAGCGACATTACAACCCTCATACTAAACACCCATTAAGGGCCCACTTGCACCACAAGCAGGTGTCGTGACTGCCTGTTGCATCTCCGTGTAAGTGACACAATATAAGGTGCCTCATTAGTCCCCAAACGAGTGATATGGAGAAGCCACTACTGAGTGGGGCGCTGCTGCACCACGTGCCGTGTAGGTGCCCCCCGACCCCCAGGACTGCTCGGGACATGGCTCGTGAGGAGCCAGCGGGCCCAGCAGGCGAGCCGAGGTCTCAGCCCTGCTGCTCAGGCAAAAGCTCATCCTTCTCTGCATCCTCACTGCCGGCTTGGCCCTGGTTCACGGGCATACATCGTTGCCTGTATGCCAGGGTCTGCCACTGCAGGCGAGCAGAGGACAAAGGCCCACAACTGCAGGGCGGGAGGGAAGACTGTCATCAGCCTTTTCTTTACTCCTCAGCCAAGGATATGTTTTTATTGATTTGAGAGAGAGAGGAAGGAGAAGAGAGAGAGAAGCACTGATAAGAGAAAGAAACATCCATCGGTTGCCTCCACACATGCTCAACCAGGGATCGAACACACAGCCCAGGCATGTGTCCTGACCAGAAATCAAACCCATGACCCTTTGGTGCACAGGACGGCACCTCAGCCAGCCGGGCCGTCGTGAGCTTTGCAGAGTATCTCCAGACTGGCAGAGCGGGTGCTCCCTGACAGGCTCCCTGTGAGGACCCGGTTTGGTTGCAGAGGACACAGACCCTACTGGGAGAGGAAGTGCTCCGGGTGGAGCACATGTGCAGTGTCTCAGCCTGGCTCCTCTCTGGTCGTTACTTACCCAGGAGACGAGGGGCTGCCAGGAACAGTGACCGCGCAGGGCAGGTCCTGCCAGATCTGAGAACACAGCTGAGGTCCAAGTGTCAGACGTACCAGACGACTCCAGAACAGTCCGTGGTGGTGTTAGGGAAATGTTCACAGTCACCTGCTCTCACTGTTCCTGGGAGCAAAGCTGCCGCCGCCTCTGATGGGGGAGAGCAGTTGGTGCCCAGTCGTCCATCCCTCAGTAAAGAACATCCCTTCCTCCAGCTTTCTAGAAGCTCTTCTTGTAGACTGTGGAACACAGACTTCTGAAAGGCCTCCTGTCCATTAGCCCTCCTCCAGGTGTCTGTGCCTTTAGTCCTCCTCCCTCTAGTGTCCAGGAGACTGGGCTCGTGGTGCGTCTGCAACCAGCACAGCAGAGGCGGCGGCACGTCACCCAGGCTCACGTGCCCTGACATCTGCCGCACCAGCAGACCCTCCCTCCCACTCACACGTGGTGGGCAGCAGCTGCCGCACCAGCAGAACCTCCCTCCCACTCACACGTGGTGGGCAGCAGCTGCCGCACCAGCAGAACCTCCCTCCCACTCACACGTGGTGGGCAGCAGCTGCCGCACCAGCAGACCCTCCCTCCCACTCACATGTGGTGGGCAGCAGCTGCCGCACCAGCAGAACCTCCCTCCCACTCACACGTGGTGGGCAGCAGCTGCCGCACCAGCAGAACCTCCCTCCCACTCACACGTTGTGGGCAGCAGCTGCCTGCCAGAAAGGCCCATGTGGCGAGAGCCAAGGCCATCCCTCCAGCAGGTCTGGGGGAACCGAGTTCTCCATCTGCTGTGACTTTGAGCAGACCCTTCTCCACTGTCCTTTGATGTGAGACCCGGTCCCTGGCAGATACCTCGATTGTAGATTTTTGAGAGACCTTGAGGCAGAGGACCCAGCCAAGCTGTTCCTGACCTCCTGCCTCACTGAAACTGAGACAGTAAATGTGTTTTAAGCTGATAAGTTTGTGGTGATTTGCTGTGTAGCAGTTCATAGCTGACATGGATGAAACCAGACAGTGAGCAGAAAAAGAAATGAAAGCGGTGCGTATACTGTAGAAAGAGTTTCTCCATTTAACGTTTTGAAAGTGCTTCTCTGAATAAGACCCAACTGCACACATATGTCTGAGGACACAGAAAGTGTCTGCAAGGGTGTCCGCCAAATGTGGTGACGGTGCCTCTGGAGGGCAGGGAGGGGGGAGGGGCAGGACTGTGATGGGGAGAGTGCCGGCGGCTTGCAAGGCTGTGCAACTCTCGGGTCACTTAGGCTGACCTGCAGGTCATGTCGAGAAACAATGCAGACCTTCACTGAAATTTTCATGGACGCCCAGAATCTTTCTGAACTTTAAGACAGGATTTGTGTTGATAATAAAATGATAAAAGAGAAACTGGAACATTTGATACAAAATGATATAACCACCTTGGGAAAATGTGGCAATTTTTGTAAGTTAAACATCTTCACCGTACAACAGTCTCAGAGATGAAAACCTGTGTCTACACAAAGAAACACACAAACCTCGTGAACATATTAAAAACCACTGACTGCCCGGCCGGTGTGGCTCAGTGGCTGAGCATCGACCCATACACTAAGACGTCACCAGTTCAATTCCCAGTCATGGCACATGCCCAGGTTGTGGGCGTGCAGGAGGCAGCCAGTCGATGTTCTCTCTCATCGATGTTTTATCTCTGCCTCTCCCTCTAAGATCAATAAAGAAAAACAAATTTAAAACAAACAAAAAAAACTGACTTATAAACCCTAAAAGGGTGAATATTTTGGTATGTGAATTAGTTCTCAACTTTTTAAATTAAAAGCCTGTGCACAAATGTTTATAGCAGCTTTATTTCAAATTGCTAAAAACTAGAAACAACTCAAATATCCTTCAGTGGTAAATGAATAAACAAACTGGTGCAGACACATAATGGAATACTACTCAGCAGTAAGAGAGTGAACTCGCCATGGCCAGTTTGGCTCAGTGGGTAGAGCATCGGCCTGTGGGTCAAAGGATTGCTAGTTCTATTACTGGTCAAGGGCACGTACCTGGGTTGCGGACTCGATCCCTGACCCCAGTAGGGGTCATGCAGGAAGCAACCAATTGATGTGTCTCTCTCGCATCAATGTTTCTCTCTCTCTCTCTCTCTTTCTCTCTCTCTCTCTCTCTCTCCCTCCCTCTCTCTCTCCCCCCCTCCCCTTTCCTCCCTCTCTTTCTAAAAATCAATGGAAAATTATCCTCTGGTGAGGATTAACAAAAAAAAAAAAACCTGATATAGCAACGTGGATGGTTCTCGAATGCATTGTGCAAGTGAAAGACTATAAGACTTGGAAGGACTGTATACAATGTGATTCTATTTATATGAATTTCCAGGGGGGGGAAAAAAAACACTATAAGGACAGAAAGAAGTCAGTGGTGGGTGTGGGCAGAAAGGGCTGGGAGAGCTGGAGATTCAGGGCAGCTCCTGGGTGGCACTGCCCCTCTGCAAAGGCCGGGTTTTACCGGGAGTGAACTATACTTCACAAAGCCTGATTTTTTTTTTTTTTTTTTTTTATCCTCACCTGAGCACATTTTTCCATTTTTTGTTCAGATAGAGTGGGAGGGAAAGAGAGGAAGAGAGAGAGAGAAACATCGATGTGAAAGGGACATATTAAGTGGCTGCCTCCTGCACGACCAACCAGGGCCGGGGACAAACTGCAACCGAGGTACATGCCCCCAGCTGGAACCAAACCCAGGTCTCTCTGGACCACAGGCCGACGCTCTAACTGCTGAGCCAAACCGGCCAGGGCCAAAGCCTGATTTTTAAGTAACTAAAAAGCAGTCGCTTTTGGTCTAGTTTTGAGTTTTATTGTTAATTTATTGGTTTTAGGTTCTAAGTTATGTAAAGGCTTCTGTTTTACAAGAATGTAAATAGTTCCTCTTATTTTCAATATTTAATTGTGCTAGAGAATTTATTTCGGAATTATCTAATAGAGAAAGACAGTAAACACTGAAAGTTGAAGAACAGAAATACTCATAATATAAAAGTACAGTATGAGAAGACTAATATTGTTTTTCTTTTAATTCCCCAAAGGCGAGGAGGAAAACGCTTCCCGTTCATCCGGATGGGCATCCTATCTGCACAGCTGGTCTGGACTCAGATAGAGTGGCAGAAAGAACATTATTTATTAACCAAATAGACTCCATTTGGCAAAAGTAGTTCACATATATTGCTGTTATTTTTCATCAAATAGTGTGTGTGTATATCCATGTCTGCAGGTATTGGTACATGCGTGTGTCACACACACAGGTGGGCAAAGTAGGTGTACACTCCTGATGCAGTGGGACCTAGAGAAAGGAGCTGTGTCACGTCCTCGCGTCTGCAAGCCTGCCCTGGGCGTCTCAGCGGGGGGAGGGTGCTCGGTATGCGTGGGTGCCCGTCCACGGCCTGGTTCTGTGCCCCCGGGAGCTCACTCCCTTCTCTGGGGCCGGGCGCCTGCCTGTGGGCAGCACTGTGAATTTTCAAATTAAACTAAAGTTTGGTACCATGTTAACTGGAATTTAGGCTTTTAAAATAATTTTGCAAGAATATTTATGGCAAGGTCAGACTCATAGATTGTAATTAGTTAAAAATTGTTAAAGAAAGGTGTTAATTAGAACATGAAGGAAAATGCTTTATTGATAAAGTTGGTTTGTTTAAATAAGCTACAATTAATTATGAGATGAAGTTAAAATACAGTTTATGTAGTTATTTACTGTACAAGGAACTGCTCTTTTTCCCTCTGAAGGAAGTCACTGCGAAGCCCGCGGTGCCGTGAGCCCCGGTGCTGCCTGGCGCAGCTGGGCCTGAGCGGCGGGGACGCCCTCACCTCGGGGGCTTCACACCGTCTCCAGGCTCTCCTTGTGGCTCAGCTACTATAAGCCATGAATCTGCCTTGAGAATTCTCTCCCATCTCCCCAAATAAAAATGTATCAGAACAGTGACTGTATCACTCAGCACTGTATCAGCTGTGACACTGAGGCTTCCCGTGTCTCAGCAAACAGCCTTCAGCACGGTTCCCTTCAGAAGTTCCAGGGCCTGTGAGAGGTCACCCCACCTCTCCCAGCCTCTGGCTAACTCCCGGGAGCTCTGGCTGCCTGAGATGCCTCTGAACACAGTTTGCTGAGTGGACCAAAAGAGTGTTCCTCGAGCATAAATTTGAGAATTCTGGTTTTAATATCTGTGTGTTAAATGACACACAGTGTTCTGTGAAGGTCTCTCTTGGGATTTGTGTTCTAATTTTCCGTCTGAGCTGGTGAACTGATTGCACTTTGTTACTCAGAACGTTGGCCTTCAATTTTATTTAACTGAAATTTGCTGCTGACGTGTTGAGTTTGTTCTTTAGAAAGTTTCTCCTGTATCACTTCCCTCCTGTTGTAGAACAGAACTAACTACTGAATGTATGAATGAAAATCCATCTATTTCAGAGCTGAATTTAAAAGTTCAATTTTTTTTACTTTATAAACTGTGAATATAAGTATGTCCGTGCATACAATGAAACTATAATAGTGTTTAATAAATTCTACTCTCTCTAAATCTAGGCCTTTTTTTGAAGTCTATACACTTGTTTTGAAATCTAGTTTCTACTTAAGAATGTAATAAAAATACCTTTTCGCATGATCAAAAAATTATTACTTTGATTACAAAAGGAATATTCTTTCATGGTTTTAGCAATGAGAGGAAATGTAGTGATTATTTTAATACTTCTATTAAATATGTTTAATGATATGTTTTTATGCCTACTCTTTCTTTTAGACACTGTTTCTTTGGGGTTTTAAATTAGTCTATGAATTGGGATTGTGATGTCCTTTATCATCATCATCAGACAGCTGGGACCTAGAATATCAGGTGCTCGAGAAAACAGAGGTTGAACTTACGGTGTGTGGTGTGCAGACCATGGTGCCTGCGTGTCCACAGCGTCTTCCACCTTGTACTGCAAGTCCTGCTGCGCCATTTCTGGGGCACCTCGGGGTCAGCTTCTCTGTGATGGGAGGCTCTCGTGTGCAGTGAGCTTTACTTCACCTCCAAACAGTGTAAGATCCAGAATTATATTCCTTTAAACAAACTTTGCAAAGCACATTCTTTTCAACAAGCTTTGTCAAAAGTGTAACCAAACTACTCACTATCAGAGCTAAGGCTTGCCAAAGGCCCACAGTGCCTGGTGTTCTCTTTACAACCACCTTAGTTGATTATGTAGCTGGAACATACAATGCTGAGGAGTGTGATGTCCCAGGGTTGGGTGAATGGCACAGCACACACACTGTAAAGAAATGCAGGCTTGTCTGCCTGCTGCAACGGAAGCCGTCCTATGGGACAGGTGCTGGTGCAAAGGAAGAGCTGTTCGGGTGCCGTGGCCTAGAAGAGGTGGACCCCCTCTCAAAGCCCATCTCCCCTTCCTGCTCAAGCCCACAGTTCTTACCGGGATAGGGAGGGGAGGACTTGTTTGTTGTTTTTAATCCTCACCTGAGGATATTTTTCCATTTATCTTCAGATAGAGTGGGAGGGAGGGAGAAAGGGAGAGAGGAAGAGAAAGAAACATCAATGTAAGAGAGACACACCGACCGGCCACCTCCCGCACGACCTTGACCAGGGCCAGGGACAAACCGCAGCCAAGGTATATGCCCTTGACCAGAATCGAACCCGCGACTCAGTGGTGTGCCAGCCAGCACTCTAACTGCTGAGCCAAACCGGCCAGGGAAAGGGCTTTTTTCTATCCAGTTACTTGTTAGCTGTTGGCACGCTGGGGCCCTGTCCATGCGTCATTCCAGCTGTTGGTGCTCAGTGTGTGGACTGCCCCGTTCGCCATCTTGGCCAGTGGGGAGACTCCCTGTGCTCCCTGACGGTGGTAATAGTCCTCCTTTTCAAAACTCTAGACCCACCCTGGCTAGTATGGGAAGCACACCGAAGGTTCATGGGGTCGGTTCCCAGTCAAGGACATGTACCTGGGTTGCAAGTTCGATCCCCAGCCCCCGTCCAGGACATGTGTGGGAGTCAACCAGTCGATGTGTCTCTCTCACATCCATGTTTCTCACTCTCTTTCCCCCTCCCTCTCTTTTCCCCATCCACTCTCTAAAAAAATCAATGGAAAAGGTATCCTTAGATAAGGATTAAAACTCTGGACCCTTGTAATCTTAACGAGAGTAAATGGATGGAGGGCTTATCTTCTGTAGTTTCTTTCTGTTGTCTAGGGACATAGTCTTACCCATCCTTGGGTCCAGAGATTCTTGATAGCTACTAAACGAAGGGGTCGGGATTGGAGGGAAGCCTCTACGAGACGGAGAAGCACTGCTGTCTTCAGAAGGCAGCATGTGCAGTGTCTAGAGGATGGGACTTTGAAACAAGCAAAGCTGCCCTGGCCGGTTTGGCTCAGCAGTTAGAGCGTCGGCCCGCGGACCAATAAGTCTCGAGTTCAATTCCGGCCAAGGCGCACGTACCTCCATTGCGGTTGGTCCCTGGCCCTGGTCCGGTCATGCAGGAGGCAACCAGTCGATGTGTCCCTCTCACATCAATGTTTCTCTCTCCCTTTCTCTCCCTGTCTCCCTCCTTCCTGTTCTATCTGATGAAAAATGGAAAAATATCCTCAGGTGAGGATTAATAAAAAATAAACTAGACAAGCGAAGCTGGTAGACTGCTTCATATTTCAAGAGATAGTTGCAGATGGGCTTCCAGGGTGAGGCTGTTGTGTGGCAAGCGATGCGGTGTTGAGTGAGGGGTGTGCCTCGGGGGGTTGCAGTGAGATCAGACGCTGCAGAGACTGCCGTCTCTTCTGAGTGGGGCTTGGGTGGCAGCCAACAGCAGGAGGCTTGCCAAGGAAGCCACTGTCTAATAAATGCTGGCAAAGGCACTATTAGTCCAAGCATGAGCGTGAAGTATAGCAATTGTCAAAAAATAGTATCAAAGGAAACATAACATTGTCACTGAGCTCCGGGAGGCACTGTCCCTTTCTGAAAGGGTTTAGATCTCAGGAGCGCAGGCCAGCTCCCCTCGCAGCGTGGGCGGCGGCAGCAGCGGGACCTGAGTGTGCCCCCCCCCCCAGCGGTGCCCACCTTCTCTGTGTGCTGGATCCGAGGCTTGATCCCGGGAGCTTTAGGGACGAGTGTGTGGTCAGCAGGACGGCAGGGGGACCGACCGCTGCTTGGCTGACTGCTGGTTGGGACGCCGAGTCTGCCGGGGCTCGTCAGGCGGGCGGATAGACCTGCAGTGAGCAAAACCGTGCCAAGTTGTCAGTGTTCGCCCTAAAGTTGTGCATATTGTTTGACTTTTAGTTCATGTTCTGACTCTGGAGGGGGTGTCCCTAAAACAGACACGTATAAGGGTCTCCCATACACGGTTTCAAAAGGGCTCCGTCCGGTCCTCTTCAGCGCACAGCCCATCCGGGCCAGGCAGTAGGGCGTGCTCCCTTTCAAACGTGTCTCCTGGCACATTTTCACCAGCGTCATCTTCATTGTGGGGTCACTTTCTCAGGCTCCCTCAAAGACGGGGTCTGCACCCAGCTCCTGTCGAGGGCCTGCCCTGTCTCCTGGAAGGTTTCTGGAGCGAAGCAGAAGCTGCCACTTTGAGTGCTGTGAGCAGGTCCAACGCAGGGGTCGTTGCTGTGGGCCGAAGTTTTGCGACCTTGGTTACCTTCTCAGTTCTAGCAGGGTGTGCCCCTACCCATCCAGAAAAGGTGTCTGATACGAATTTAAAGTTTCCTGTGGTTTTAGCATGTGTGTAAAGTCGACGTGCAGCCCTCGAAAGGGCAGGTGCCTTTTACATGGTGCGCGGGGGCACGTCTGGCTCAGGGTGTGTGCTGCCTCTGTGGCAGGCTCGGGTAGTCTCCCGAGCGGTCCTTTGTGATGAGGGCCCTTCACATGCAGTCTAACCAGGTCCAGTGGAGCGTCCTTTACATGACGGGTCCGTCCTGCGGGTGTTTGAGGGCGGGACATGCAGTGAGCGCTCATCCCAAGTGTTGATGTTCCGCGTGGAATCGGTCAGTGTCAGAGAACCCCAGCACGGGCCCATTCCTCATCTCGTTCTGCGCAGAGGGGTTTACATTCTGACCCGTCCAGGTGGGGCATTACAGCCCAGGAAGCGATGGCCCCACCTTGCTGCTTTATTGGCGGTGTGGTTTGCCTGGAGAGTTTGGGAACCGTCCTTCTGGAGAAGCCCTGGCCGTGCACGCGGTCAGCCTGGTTCGGTGGAGTCACTGCCCCGAGCAATTCTACAGCAGCTTTCGCATGTCTGATGTCCTTATTCCCAAGGTTAAATGCCCTCTTTCTATGGAGCCCCGTGGGCATAGTCAGTCAGTGTGGATGTTAACACCCTTCCCGGGACAAGTCTGAGGCTCTGGCGAGGGCGCGTTCCTCCTCCCGTGCGCAGTCCCCATGGCGGTCCCCGCGCTCCTCTGCTCCGTCTGTGTGACCTGCACCCAGCTCGTCACGGGCCCTCTCCGGAAGCCGCTCCCATCTGTGTGCGTGATTCCCGGAAGGTTCAGTCAGCGGGGATCCAACAGGTCCGCTCTGCTGGCGTTCCCTCAGCCCGCACGGCCCAGTGGACACGCTGCTTGATCTCGGGGGAAGAGTTCACCTCTGGGTGCTGCCAGGCAAGTCGGGGGCACCGGCAGTGAGGGCAGGTTCCAGTGGGACTTGTAAATGCATTGGCAGCTTCTCAGAGAAGGGCGGTGTGTGCACGCAGTTTACAATGTGAATCCAGCCCGGCCACGGACTGGGCAGTCAGCACGCGCGTGTGATCCCCAAGCCGGCGTTCTAGAGACTGAAGTCTGTGATGCCTGGTCACTCCAGTGACCAGCGCTGCAGCTGAACTTCTCCTGGTTGGTTTTGTATTTCGCGCTGCATAGGCAGCTCCTGTCTCTACAAGGAAGTCAGTTAGCTCGTCCCCCCACTGTCATCGGTGCCTGGGGCTCCTGTGGGTGTGACACAGTGATAGGTCGGGGGTGTCTAGAGGAGCCCCTGGGCCTCCAGATTCATCGTTCCTTTCTAACCTTCTCGGCAAGAGTTTCTATACTTTCTGCTTTTCTTTTTTAGTTCTGGGTGGTCCTTTCTCCAAAGCCTTCCTCTTTTCGGTAGGCTCGTTGATTGGCACCTACAGGCCCTTCCCCTTTTCCGTTCAGGCCCTGCCTCTCCTCCTGGTTCCCTGCACTGTTTCTAAGAAAGCAGAGGCCTGCTTCAATGACCTGGTTTCCCGGACATGGTACACTCTGAAGGCTGCATCCCCCATCTGAGAAGGGTATTCCCAGCACCCCATCTGGACGTTGGAGCCTCCTGATATCCAGGGCACTTTGCCCAATAAAAGTGATGTTTACCATCCAGACATTTTCTGGTGTCTGTGGGTCTGCGTCAGTGTGCTTTCAGTAGGCCTGGTGGAATGCTTGCGTCTGCATAGCCTATGTACACAGCCGTGCGGGAGGCTGTCGGAGCGGGGGCTGGGTGAGGGGCACAGTGGGACTGGGGAGACATCTGCAATGCTGTCAACAATCACTGTGTTCACTGCTGTAAAAAATATAGGCCTGGTAGATCCTTTCTAAAACCTCAGAATGATCTTCCTTTGGTTTCTGT